AAAATTAAATGACTCATCAAAAAATATCCAAAAAAATAATTAGATTTTTCATATTTCCCACCTCTGCATAAAACCTCTAAAAAATTTTATTTTTTATAATTTCATTTTTGTTTATATTTTTTTTTTTATCAACAAATGAATTATAAATCATTTAATTCCTTCAAATTTAATATAATTATTTGCCTTCAATTAATACTTCCCATCCCTGCATTTAGTAGGATTCCCCTCTTATAACAGTTAAAATACTCTCCCCACATATCATTTGTTTATTTCGTTGCAATGCAATCATGCTAACTGTGCTTATACTCCTCTCTCACATACAATTAACGGGCGAGAGCATGCTTGCTCTCTCCCATTTGCATATCATTACTTATTCTCCCCTCACACACAGTTAACGGGTGCGAACATGCTTGTTCTCTCTCACAGCAACAATATCACTGTTGGCTTATTCTCCACCCACATACACATAACGGGCGAGCATACTTGTTCTCCCATCAATATCAATGAGCCCCATGAAAGAATATCACAACAAAACGGTTATGCATGCAAGGCTTGCATTGCAAGCGAGCATGCACACACACAATAACAGTGTGGGTGCATAAGAGGAAATGGGTGCATTTGAATAGAATTCGTTGCATACTTTAAGGCAAGAATTTAGATTTACTTAAAATCAATGAAAATTAATGGGAAAAATTCGAAAAAATATTTTTTTAATTTGAAAAAAATAGGAAAATAATTTTAAAAAATATTTTGAAGAGAAAAAAATATTTTTTTCGCCACAAAAACAAAAAAGAAAAAAAGGGAAAATAATAAAAATAAAATAAAAAATTAATTAAAAAATTTTATTTTTTGAAAATAATTAATTGCCTACTTTTAGGCCAAAAATTGAAATTTATGAAAGTAAAATTGAAATTTATGAAAATAAATATAGAATTAATTATTTTAATTAGGAGACACATTTTCATCATTTTTGTTCTAAAAATTTTATAAAATTGCACCCTGCAAACAAAATTTTCACTCTCCCCCTCAAACACATAAATTTCACTGATTTCTTTGTTTCCCTAAAATGTTTCATTGGAAAAATTCCACCCTTAGCAAACAAATTTAAATTAACAATAGACAAAAATACAACTGTCTATTTACATTAGGATTTTAACAACACCCCCTCCAATACAGATAGACATATAACACCCTTGACCTCTGGCTGGACATGTGAGAAAAACAAGTAATAGACATCTACATGACCCTATTGATCAAACTGACCCTTACACAACAAATAGAAATAAAAACTATTTTTCAAAAAATAAATAGGAATTCCAACAAATTTGTCACTGTAAATTTTGAAAACAATAGAAACAGAATATTTTGCAAAATATTGTGTATAATTTCCAAAAGACACCCTCAATCAACCACCATCCTATTTTATTACAACAAAATGCCTAACACCTTGTTATCCCCCTCCCTACAAACCACTTGAATGAATTTCGTGCAACAACAAAGGATGTTAAGGATTTTTATTATTGTTTGCATAATCAAACAAACCACCCCATATAACAGGAATAAAAATTTAAATACGATGAGCATGTAAATTTCCAACCACCATGATCCTTATTATCCTGCCAACAACAAAAAGGTTATGTAAATTATATGCCATTTAACTTTAATGTGTTTGAAAACTAATTTACCTATGCGACACTAAACGGAAAAATATTTTGACACGGGGACAAAACACGCGGAAAAAAGGTCACCCATTATGATAGGGTAATCAAAAAAAATTGTAATAATAAAAAAACAATTAACATCGAAGTTGGCGGTGTGGCATTTAGCACCCTTTGATTATGCAAAATACACGCACACACGAATTTATTCAAATGCAACAGGGTGATAAAAAAGGGGAAGAGGAAAGGGTTACTGAAGTGTGTGGCATTAAAAAAAGGATTTGACTTTGTCGGGTGGTTATTATTCAAATGATATGCTTATCAGGACCCTCCTGATTTTTTTGATTATGGTAATTGTAAAGAACATGGGTGTTTTTTATGGTGTGTGTGTTTGATTAAAGGATTGCGTGTTTAAAATTAAATTGTTTAATAATGACTCAATTTTGCATGATTGGTGGTGATTGATTTTTTTGTTGTTCCTTTTTTTTGATTTTTGAAGAGGGTAGCAAAAGGCTTATTAGCATGTTATTATGTAAATATGTGGTTAAATATCATTAAGGGGATACTTAAAAATTTTAATGGGAGAGAGGCTGGTAATAGAGGCTGGAAATTTGAGTTTTTTTACTAAAAAAATTCAAAAAATATTTTTTGCATAAAAATGCATTCTTTGGCCTCCAAAAAGAAAAAAAACAAATTTTTGTGTCATTTTTTCAATTACAAATTTTTTTCTCCCTCACAAAAAATTGGCCGAACATCTGCCCACAATTTTTTTTCCTCGATATTTTTTACAAAAAAAAATCTAACGTATTTTTTATGATCGACATTACCATGAAAAATTCCCTAAAAAACACGACAGCACACACGCACATCATTGCAGGACAACAATAGAACACTCCCTCAATTACACAATAAGCCAACCAAAATCCTGACTCCGATTACATGGAAATAATACACACAGAAGAAAAATACAAAACAACGAAAAAAAGGACAATGGTTTGGGATTCAGAAAAAAACTGGACAAACAATGAAAACAAAACACAAAAAAAATAATAAACGGAAATGTCATAAAATATGTTTGGCAAAAAACCAACAGAGATTTACATGACAGTTTTGAAATAATAAAAAATACAGACAATAAAACAACAACAACAAAAATATGGAAATTTGTAAGGAGATTGACAGCAATTGGTAGATCAATAAAAAAAATTAAAATTCAAAAGAAAAGGCAGATGGTTGAGGGGGATAAAAGGGAATATTTTTTATTGAAAAAAAATTATTGAAAAAAAATTCTATTAAAAATTAAAAATATTTTCAATTCTTTTAAATTTAAATATTTTTTTTTGAAATACCAAAAATTTTTTTTTAATTAAAAATATTTTTTTATAAAAAAAAATTGTTTAAAAATTTAAAAATATTTTTTATAAATTAAAATAATTTATTTGAATTAAAAAAATATATTTTTGTAATTAAAAAAAAATATTTTCACCCTCTCTCCCCCTTCAACAAAAAGTACAGTTAACTTCCCTAACCTTCAAATACTTTAATTTCAAAATTTTCCAAAAATCAACTACTCATAAATTTTCCAACTGTCACATGACTACATATGTTTTTATAATCCACATATCTACTTGTTCGGGAAAAAATTAGCTCTCATTGTGTGAAAAATTGAAAAATTCGTCACAAGCGATAAAAATCGCCGGAAAAATCTCTGGAACGTGTGCGTTTAAATCACCCTTTTTACAACAACCCCTTAATTTTTTCTACTGCAAGGGAAAGGGGAATTACAAAATTTTTTTGATTTGCCATTTTCAAAATTAAAAATGGTTTGAAATGAAAAATCGAAAGCGAAAAGGGTGGTAAGTAGTCACCCTTTTTTGGCATAAAGGGGAGTTTTTAAATTACGAGGCCGAAGAGATAAATCACAATGACTCGTTTGACTTGATTTCTGTTGTTTTTGTTTTATTACAAAAACAACAAAAATTTACAATTGTTAAAATTTTATATTTTTTCTGTTTTGAATGCGGGTACAGGTTTTGAAAAAGAAATCAAATCACAGCAAGCCAACACTGTCACAACACTTTCTCAAATTTCAGAGGACAAATTTTCTTTCTTCAGACCTTTCTTTTCAATCAAAGAAGAAAAAGAAATCATTAAAATTTTCTCAATGCCAATTTTTACACCTCCTGATGTTTTCCCTTTTTTCTGGATGCACCACCAGCCAGCCAGTCAACCAGCAGCATTGCACTGTTTGTCATTCTGTCCTTTTATCGTAGTGAAAGAGCCAAGTGACCGCCAGGTGATATTCCAGTGTGTGTGTGCGAGTTTTGTTTTATTGTGCTCAATGACAGCAGCAGCAGCTGTAAACTATTTTATTTGGAAAATGTTTTCAAATCAATTGTTTGTTTTTCGTATTTATGTTTGTGTGTGTCTGTGCGAACATGTTCTGATTTTTTTGAAAATTCATGGTGAAAGGATTTCCCCAACTGTAACACAGTTTTCAATATCCACAATTCAAAAAGAGATTTTATTTTAATATGAATTACTACTCTCTCACGCTCTCACGAAAAAAGTATTTCACAAAGAAATTTTTTTTATTAAATTTAATTTATTTAAATTAAAATAATTTTTTATTTTTTTTTTAATTAAAATATTTTTTTATTTAATTTTTTAAATTAAAAAATTATCAAATTATCATTAACCCTCTCCAAATGAAATACAAACCACTCTCTCTTTAATGAATACCCCACAAAGGCCTCTCATTTGCCTAGTGAATAACACAATTACATATCTCTCATAAATAGCTCTCTTTATCATGAATAACTGTTCCCTCTCTCTTGGCTTTCAACACAACACAAAGCTCTCTCTCATTTACATAGAAAAGCAATCAACATTAGTTCGCTCTCTTCTCAAAACAACTACCGTTTGAATCGCCTTTAAGACACTCTCTTTACTCTCTCTCTCCACCAAAAAAAGCAACAAATTCACTAATGACAATTTTCTCTCTCTTTTCTCTTTATAGCTCCCCACTATGCCACCGATGATGTATGTGAAACCAAATACAGCTCACCCTCACCCACAAATCTCAGCAATAAGAGGCCACGAGAATTGGATTCCGACATGGAAAATGAGGTCTTGAATTTGGCCACCCATAGCAATACACCAAAAAGGCAAAATCGTTCTCCTTCACCAATTATGACCATGCAGGAGAAACCTCAAGAAGCTGCTGTCATTCCTCCTCCCACCACCACTTCTCCATTCTCAGCAGCACCCACAAATTTCTTGGCTGCCTTGCAAAATCCTTTGGCTCCCTTTTTGTTGCAAAATCAACTGGGTTTGGCTGCTGCCGCTGCCCTGCAGCCCGAAGATATGCAACAGGCCTTCCAGCTGCAATTGCAAAGCTATATGGAAATGATGCGTCAAATGGCTCCCGAAACCATACAAAATCCAGCTGCTGCCCAATTTTTGTTGCAGAACTCCTTGCAGGCCATGATCCAGTTACAGGCCTTGCAACAATTGAAACAACAACAACAGCAGCAACAACAAGTTCAAGAAAGAGCTCCTGAAGTCGAGCAGGAGGAAGAGAATTTGTGTAAAACTCCCAATATGGAGGCAATGAAGAAATATTCTACCCCACAAAATAAATCCCCCTTGAGAAGTCCCTCTCTCAGCCCTGTTTCCAGGCATAGCTCTTCGGCCCGTATGCACCACAACAGTGTGGGTACACCAGCCAGCTCAATGCATTCGCAACAGCAGCAGCAGACCACACCACCAAATTCCGCTCATTTACCCATGACCCTGAGCAGTGCTGCCATGACCCCTAACACACCCGGTATGACACCAGCTTTTCCCACAGCCTCACTGAGTCAAGCCTCAGCTTTGAGCTACTCGAGTACCCCACAAAATTCGAAGAGTTCCAGTGCCAATACCCTCTCCCAAGCTGCACGCACCTTGGATCAATCGCCTGAAGAAACCACCGATTTGGAGGAATTGGAACAATTTGCAAAGACCTTCAAGCAGAGACGTATCAAATTGGGTTTCACCCAAGGTGATGTGGGTTTGGCCATGGGTAAACTCTATGGCAATGATTTCTCCCAAACCACAATCTCCCGATTTGAGGCCCTCAATTTGAGTTTTAAAAATATGTGCAAATTGAAGCCTTTGCTACAAAAATGGTTGGAAGATGCCGACAACACAGTGTCCAAACCAGGTGGCATTTTCAATCTCTCCGCCATGACCTCAGCCCCCTTGGCCACCCCTGAAAACAACATCATGGGTAGACGCCGCAAGAAGCGTACCTCCATTGAAAGCAATGTTCGCTCCACCCTCGAACGGGCCTTTGCCATTAACTGCAAACCCACCTCAGAGGAAATCAATCAATTGGCCGATCAAATGAACATGGAAAAAGAAGTGGTACGTGTATGGTTCTGCAATCGCCGGCAAAAGGAGAAACGTTCCAATCCCTCTCTCGATTTGGATAGCCCCACTGGTACACCACTCAGCAGTCATGCCTTTGGTTATCCTCCCCAGTCGCTTAACCTCACCAATGGTTTGGAAGCCTCCTCGCTATGTGGCAGCTCCATCAGTTCATTATCGCCCACCCACTACAATGTCAAACATGAATGATGTTGGTACACGAAGGACGATTATAATAATGGTTATGTAGATAACATGGATGCAACATATCAGCAACATATGGTGGGGTCGCAGCAGCTGCAGCCGGGTATGATTATGCCACATGCCACAGATAGCGATTATATCTCGATGGTAAATGGTAGCAATAATTATCCAGCAATATATCCGCCAATGTCCACATCGTATAATAACTATAATGAAGCCTTTGGTGAGGATCAGGCCTCATGGCAGCAGGGCAGTAGCAAACCAGCTCAGGATTATCAGCAACAACAATATCATCATCAAAACTCCTCAACTTCGTCATCAACAAATTTACTTACAACCTGGTCAGCAACCGGCCAAAGCAAACAGTAAAAAATTCTCTCTCTCCCACACACTCTCTCGCTCTCTTTGGTGATTTGTTGATTTGCTCGCTCTCACACAGCCTCACTTTGGTCGCCAATACACAGCCTGCAAGCGACCATTATAAACAAAAAAGGTCATCGAATTGTAAATAGTTCTACTCCTTGAAAACCTCACAAAGACAACATTCCATTTCAGTATTCATATCAGGAAAATTCAAAACAAAACAAAATATTGAATTTTCAAATTTGAAAAAAAAATATCTAATATTGAAACACTCTTCCATTATTTGATAATTTTTTTTGGTATAACTTTTAGACTAAATATAAACGAATTTAATTAGTATTGAGTGTAAATATTTCCTTATTAGAAATTTAAGTATTAAAAAAAGAGCCGGAAAATATTTAGAGTTCCTACTAGACTCCCATTAATCCCCCATGAAACTATTACTGGAATTTGAAGTATACTAAACAGAAAATTGAAATAATGTGTATTTATTAGATATCATTTATATAATGGAAATTATTAAACAATAATTGTATATATAAATATTTATAATATAAGTGTTTAAAATTAAAAAAAAAAAAAACAAACAAATAATAAAAAAACAACAAAATATTACAAAAAAAACAAAATGAATTTTTATTTTCTCATTAAAAAACCAGTAAGGAAAGTAGTAATGTCGGACTGGGCCGACTATATGATACCCTTCACCAATTTGGGTATATTCTACATATGTATCCTAACAGACGTCGCCTCTTCGAAGGAGAATTCGCATGAAGTTGAACGAACTTAGATATGTGATCTTTATCAATATGTAAACAGACTAACTTCAATCCCAACACATGCCACTCTGCAACCTATGCTAAATTTTGTTAATAGGTCGAAATTATATATGGAATAGGTCGAAATTATATATGGAAGCTATGCTATATCTATATCTGTACCGATTTCAAAGAAACATGCCAGAGATTAATTTATATTAACTTTAGTACGTTGTGTCAATCGGCCTAGCTATGGGTCATTTACATAAAATCGGACAAAAAAAAAATATATATATATATATAGGAGGTGTATGTAAATCTGAACTGATTTTCACGAAACTTTGCACACATAATTTTAAACTTAATTCAGTACGCTATACCAAAATCGAAAGATATATGGGGACTTTGGTACACTATTTACATAAAATCGTGCGAAATTATATATGGGAGCTATATCCAAATCTGAACCGATTTTCACGCAACTTAGCACACATCATTCTAGGCTTAATTCAGTACGCTGTGCGAAATTTCGTGCAAATCAAAAGATATTTAGGGACGTTGGTGCACCATTTACATAAAATCGGACGAAAATATATATGGGAGCTATATTGAAATCTGAGCCGATTTTCTGGAAACTTAAACACATCATACTATACTTAATTTACTACGCTATGCCAAATATCGAGCAAATGGAAATATATATAGGGACTTTCGTGTACCATTTACATAAAATCCGGCGAAATTATATATGGGAGCTATATCTAAATCTGAACCGATTTTCATAAAACTTAACGAACATCATTCTAGACTTAATTCATTACGCTGTGCCAAATTTCGTGCAAATCGAAAGAAATATAGGGACTTTGGTACACCATTTACATTAAATCGGACGAAAATATATATGGGAGCTATATCTAAATCTGAACCGATTTTCAGGAAACTTAGCGCTCTTTATTCTAGACCTATTTCATTACGCTGTGCCAAATTTCGTGCAAATCGAAAGATATATGGAGACCATTTATATAAAATCGGACGAAAATATATATGGGAGCTATATCTATATTTGAACCGATTTTCACGAAACTTGGCACACATCATACTATACTTAATTCAATACTCTATGCCAAATTTCGTGCAAATCGAAAGATGTATAGGGACATTGGTGCACCATATACATAAAATCTGACAAAAATATATATGGGAGCTATATCTAAATCTGAACCTATTTTCAGGAAACTTAACACACATCATTCCAGACTCAATTCAGTACGCTATGTCAAATTTCGTGCAAATCGAAATATATATAGGGACTTCGGTACGCCATTTACATAAAATCGAACGAAAATATATATGGGAGCTATATCTAAATCTGAACTGATTTTTCCCAATTTCAATAGAGTTCGTCCTTGGGCCGAACAAGTGACGTATGCCAAATTTCATCCAATTCGGATCATAAATGGGACTTATACTTTATTTACAATTTAACACCAACAGACGGACGGACTTACTTTCTTAGCTGGCTTGTGACAGAACTTTCGTTCCATAAGCCGAGCTTAGAAAAGATTTCCAGGCGCGTCTGTCTTTTGCGCAGTTTTTCCAATTTGCAAGACCATTTTCGGCAATGATGTCTTCGACTTGATCTTTCCATCGTATTCTTGGCCTTCCTCTTCTGTGTGAACCATCAGCTGGTTCGCTTTTATATGCCTTCTGGGCTGGAGCATCTTCATCCATTCTCACAACATGCCCTAGCCAACGTGGTCGCTGCAGCTCAATACGTCTAACAATGTCGGAGAATAGCTGGTACAACTCATGGTTCATTCAACGGCGATATTCACAGTCAACGCAGATCGGCCCATAGATCTTTCGGAGAATTTTTCTCTCAAAGAGAGAGCTGCCTCATCTGCTTGCGCTTTAGATCCATATAACAGCACGAGTAGTATCAGCGTCTTGTAAAGTGTACGTTTGGTCTGACAGGAGGTGGCCTTGTCTATAAACTGCTTACTTAGACCATCTTCATCATCTATTGATCATCACAATCCTTCTCCCAATTTCAAAACTGATGTCATTCGTTTTATTTATGGCGGTACCAAGGTATGTGTTGTTTGGTGTATCCTCGTTCGGTATTGAAGGGCTCCGATAGGTCCTTTCCGACTTTAACGTAAAGTTGTCCTGCATACCCGTATTAATTTTGCAGGAATCCCGAACGTAGACATGGCTTTAAACACCTCTGAACGGATAGGGCTGTCGAATGCGGCTTTATAGTCGACGAATAGGTGGTATGTGTCGATGTGTTTTTCGTGGGGTTTTTACAGGATTTGGCGCTGAGTGAAAATCTGGTCATTGGTATGGTCCAATAATGTCATTGACCATTGGCTTCAGTCGTTCACACAGTACGCTGGATAGCACTTTATATGCGATGCGAAGGATACTTATTACTCTATAGTTTGCATATATCGTCTTGTCTCCTTTTTTGTGCACGGGACACAGGATGCTGAGGTTCCAATCATTGGGCATGCTAGAGGCTAGAGGAATGCCTGCATTCCTTACCAGCATCTAACAACCAGTCTTGAAAAGTTCGGCTTGTAACCCATCGGCTCCTGCTGTTTTATAGTTCTTGAGCCGATTAATTGCTTTTATGACCTCATCTTGGCTAGGTGGTATACACTCTATACCATCATCTCTGATTGGTTCTGGGTATCTTCTTCACCGCCACTATTTTTTGATACCAGAAGCTTTTCAAAATGTTTCTTTCAGATCCTCAACACGCTGTCTGTGTCTGTCACCAGGTTTCCTTCTTCATCTCTACAAGAGGATATGCCTGCACCAAAACCTTCGGTTTTGTGTTTTACTTGTTGGTAAAATTTCCGGACTTCATTCTGACTCCTGTACATCTCGATTTGCTCACGCCCCCGTTTTTCTATTTCTTTTTTGTTTTTTTTCAGAAAACACGTTTCTCCTCTTTCCTTTTCTCCCGATAATTGCGATCCGAATCGATATTCGCTCCTCGGATCGATCGAACATCTAATACACTGGATGAATGCCTTCCGTCGATCACAACATGATCAATTTGATTTCTCGTTGCATGATCAGGAGAAATCCAGGTGACCTTGTGTATATCGAGATGCTTGAATCTGGTGCTGCTAACTACCATGTTTTTTGCTGCCGCTAAGTCACTCAACCTCATGCCGTTGTCGGATGTTTCTTTATGAAGGCTGAATTTTCCGACGGTGGGGCCAAAGATATTTTCCCTTTCTCCTAGCAGAATTTTAATGTCATGGTCAGGGCAGCGATTATATGCTGTTTCTAGGCGCTCGTAAAATATGTCTTTGGTCTGTTCATCTTTGTCTTCGGTCGGAGCATGGGCGCAAATAAGACTGATGCAGAAGAACTTCACGGATTATAGCAATTCGCTCAGCTACTGGAGTGAATCTGGAGACGAGGTCTTTTATTCTCCTGTTGACCAAAATTCCGCGTGAATTTTCTAAAGATTATTTTTTGAGGGTCTACCAAAGGCGTGGATTTGTTAAAGAATATTTTTTCGAGGGTCTACCAAAGGCGTGGATTTTTAAAGAATATTTTTTCGAAGGTCTACCAAAGGCGTGGATTTTTTAAAGAATATTTTTTCGAAGGTCTACCAAAGGCGTGGATTTTTTAAAGAATATTTTTTCGAAGGTCTACCAAAGGCGTGGATTTTTTAAAGAATATTTTTTCGAAGGTCTACCAAAGGCGTGGATTTTTTAAAGAATATTTTTTCGAAGGTCTATCGAAGGCGTGGATTTTTTAAAGAATATTTTTTCGAAGGTCCACCAAAGGCGTGGATTTTTTAAAGAATATTTTTTCGAAGGTCTATCAAAGGCGTGGATTTTTTAAAGAATATTTTTTCGAAGGTCTATCAAAGGCGTGGATTTTTTAAAGAATATTTTTTCGAAGGTCTATCAAAGGCGTGGATTTTTTAAAGAATATTTTTTGAAGGAAACCTGGATAGACTATTTACCTATAAGTTAATTCAAATTGACCCCTGAGTCTCTTAACATATGCTCTTTAAAACTTCTCAATGGAGTTCCATGAAATTTTGTCCACATGTGTATAAGATGGAAGGGGGTCGTATGTGACATATTTGATAAAGGTCTAGTTCGGCTTTCCCCATGGACATAAAAATATGTTTGCAGTACTTAACAAAAAAGTGGATGACAGAATAAAAAACTACTATTTAAAACATTACGAAAAAAATCAGAGCAGAAATA